CCATGGATGTAGTATAATGGATAACTGCTCGGAATTGGAAGTTGGAGAGCTGAGTTCCAATTCCAATCGAATTTGTTAGATTTACTTCTACGCAAATAGCCCTGGAAAGGTATGAATCCATATACACCTACCATCTATGTGTTAATCATTTAGACTTGTACCTGTAAATTATGATTATCTCCAAAAATAATTCTTGCAAGCTAAAAATATTTCTGGCTTTAAATAACACGCAAAAGGTCTTTAAATCGTATAAAAATCAAATCAAATAAAAGCTTCATTTAACAAAAAAGACAATACCTCCATTTCTAAATACAGTCGTTTTGTGAATGTTCAAAATCGTAACCGTTAAATGCTTTCTAGGAAGCCGAGCAGACGTTTCACTGAACCAATATGTATTTTTATACCAGCCAACCTAAGGATTGAACTCAGAACTCACGTAGAAATTAGATGTGATTCTCTCCGCTATGGTTTGTAGAATTACTAAGGTGTAGAAACTGTCCAGAAAGAATTAATGTATAATAGTAACACTACATTGACCCAGGAAAAATAATTAACAAATATACATATCTGAAAAGGTTAATTTGACAAGAAACTGTTTCTACGTCTATGCTTGTCATGTTCTTACGGGGGAAATTTTAGAAGTATGTATTCCCGCAACAACTAAACCAAAGATTGATATCACTACTTTCGGGAAATTCGATATGTTTTCAGGGTATTAGAGGTAGAACATTTTTACATTAGGCTACAGCTTTGAGAAAAACAAAGAGAGGGAAACTGATTGGAAATAATCATTGTATAATGTTACACCTTTTATAGTAAAAAATGTCATGTTATTATTAGATTACATAAACATCAATTTGGCTATTTAGCATTTAGTTTAATTCAATTTAATATTTCACTTCTCTTTTGACGAGGAGTTCATGTTTCCTTTGTTGCCTCTTTAACCTCTTGTACAGTATGGGATCTACATGATGAAGAGAGGCGAAAAGAACAAAACGAAATGAAAGAAAAGAAGGAAGGAAGAGAAAAAAGAAATTAAGAAAGAAAGAAAAATAAGAAACAAAGAAAGAAGCGGAAAAAAACAAAAGGAAAGAAAAAAGGAACAAAAAAAGAAAGAAAAAAAGAAGGAAAATAAATATATAAAGAAAAAAGAATCATTATTTTTCTCGTTTTTTTTTTTTTTTCAGAATAATATCTTCTTACATTAATGGTACCTCTGACCGATCAGGCGAGTTTTTCTTCCCAGTAACGAATGCATCGGGGTTTACAGTTTATTGTTCTAGTTATTATGACGTTATTCTAAATGATTCATAATTTGGAAATAATACTTCGACTGTACTGTAAGTTTTACGAGAAATGTATGTGTCATTTCTTTTAATCATATCACCCCGATGGGAAGGCAGTAAAACCACTAAGACACACGAGGTTACTGAGTGTAAAAGAATAAGTAAAAACAGAAACATTATTAAGGAACGAGAACAATAGAAGAGTAATCAAGAACACAATACATAACGACTTACATTGCATTTAAATTTTAAAGATCAAAGTTGGCTGGAAGAGAAGTGTGAGAAAAGAAACTGTTAGCATAGAACTTACGGTTACATCTACCCAGTCTAACTGTGAATTGATGAGAAATTGCCTCTAATATAGTACTGCGTCTAAATTACTGAGGATCTTAAACAGGAAACAAGGGATATACCTCTACTCCTGTTCAAAATACGGAGAAGTGTGAACAGGGCGAATTTAAACTGTAAATCACTCATTTTTTCATTTCACTGGTCACTCATGAAGTTTCTATTTTACGCGCTTTTTTTTTCGAAACCTTCTGTTTTCATGTAGAAATGTATTTATTTATAAATCTTTCTAACCAATGATTACACATAAATCTTCGAAACTTCTAGGTTAATACACAAACCATTGAGCTGTTAATGAGTATCGGTTCTTAATATTCGACTATTTCTTTTGGGAAATTTAATTTTTAATATCGGTTGTTGCAGAAATACATCCTAGAAACACATAATTGTAAGCCATTAGCTAGATGAAGACACCATTGCCACTAATGTCTTACCATTATGCGGAAGGTATTCCTGGGGGGGGGTATATGTGGGAAGTATTTCTGCCGCACACTGTATTTGCTGAGGTTAACTTAGTTTGATACAAATAGGAGTATACGGATTAGGATTTTATAGCGCTTATCTTCCAACTGGGGAGAAATTTAGACCCTAAAATACAGTATTCAAGATTTTGATTTTGATCTGGGATCGATAAATGACTACACTCTCTGGTGGGTAAAACGCAACTACCTAAACCACCAAGTAGGTCCCTCCTTTTCTTTGTATTGTTTCTTCATTACTTTTCACCTTCTTCATTTCGCTTTTGTTTTTTCTTTTCAATTTTTCTTTCTGCTATTTTCCCCTTCTCATTTTTTTATTTTTCTTACTGCTTTTCTTTTACTCTTTCGTTCATATCTTTCGCTTTTTTCCTTCCCTTTTTTTTTTTTCATTCACTTTCTTCTTTTTTCTTGTTTTCGGTTCCTACCTCTTTTCATTTTCCTCTTTCATTTCTCTTTTCTTTTCCTATTATCATAGTTAGTTTCTCCTTCCCCCACTTCTCTTCGTCGGGGTTTGTTACACAAAGTAGCAGTTCTCAACTGTCTGAGTGGAACTTCCTCCTTACAAGTGGAATACGGAGGAAATGTAATACAGACTTAGCATGGCGACTCCTGGCTGAAAAGGTTTGAACTGGTGAAACTAAAGAGGGGGGCCCATCTGAACATTTGACATGGACACAGCGATAGACATAGTGTCGTCTGTTGGAGAGAGGCTACTTTTCTTCTTTCCACCTCCTCCTCCTCCTCCTCTTATTATCATCTTCCTATTCTTTTGTTCTCCATTTTTTACCTTTCCTCTTCTTATTATTTCTGCCTTGCTTTATCTTTCTTCTTCCTCATCTTATTCTTTCTTCTTCTTTCTTCCTCTCTTGTCATTTTTGCCTCACCTTATCTTTGTTTTTATTCTTTCCTCCTTCTTCTCCTACTCTTCTTATTTTCCCCTTCACTTATCTTTCTTATTCTTTACTTCTCCGTTTCCCCCTATTATTATTTTTACCTCCCCCTATATTTCTTCTTATTCTTTCCTCCTTCTCTTCTTCCCCTTCTTTTTATTCTTTCCTCCTCCTCCTATGACTTTTTCCTTCCCCTGTCTTTCACCTTTCTTTTCTTATTTATCTTCCTCTTATTGTTTTCATCTTCTTTTCTTCCCGCTTGTTATCTTCTTTTCTCTTTCTTTCTCTTCCCCTCATTCTTCTTTCCGCCATCTCTTCTTTCCTATCCCTCTTCCCATTCTCTTTCTATTCTCATGTTTTTCTTCCTACTTCTCTTCCAATTTCTTCTCCTCTACCATTGTTCTCATTCAGAAATCTATTCTCGAACTTCGGACATTTATTTTAAACTGTCTTCAATTACGCAACTGAAATAAAGCGTAACTTTCATATAGTTAAGTGAATATTGAGGTGGGCCTCTTGTTAAACAGCCCTTTACGCTCACTCCTAAGATGACACCTTTAGATCCAAACAGACTTATTCGCGCATGCAAGGCTGAAGAAAACGTAAGTGATAAGTGAGTGTGGGTAAGTGCCATATAATGACACAATCAGGCCGAACAGGCTGACATCTGAACATAGCTGAATGATTAGGGTAAATAGAGGAATGTCCGTTCTTTTTTCGCACTCAACTATACCCCCACTCCCCTGATATATTTCCATCTCATCCTTTGTTATCTATATAAATGTAGACATTCTTGTCTCATTAGTGTCATTTACACTCCTATCACAGTCCAGAGATGTATGGAGAGATGCGAGCACATACGATTAACGAGGGACGTATAGATACAAAAGACGGCATGAATAGGGTTTCATTTTTTCTTTATTTCGCTCGTACACACATGCTCACACACATACACAATACATGCAGGTGCAGGCACACTCAAGCGAGAATATATATATATATATATATATATATATATATATATATATATATATATATAAATATGAACCTAAAGGGCCAGTTGACCCTGACGATCCGTATAGGTGAATCCTAGGTAGGTTTACCTGGCTCTTTAGGTTCATATGTAGATTTGTATTGAGCACTTTACGTAGTAATATTTGCTTTACTCTTTTTGGAGTTTTTTTCTTTGGACTCTGAGCTTGAATTCTGGACGATTGTTTTCGCCTCAATTTCATGGTCTTTCCCTTATTTTCCCTTGGGCATTGGTTTGTTCAATTACAAGCTAAAATACCTAAGTATAACTATATATATATATATATAGTTAAGTTACGAAGAACTTAATAAACCGAATGGGTAATTTTAATTTCGTTGTTGGAATTTACCTGATGATCCGGAGTCCTTTAAAAAGGATTTTGGTGAAATAAATTATTGTAATGGTACCTTAAAGTGGTCTTTTTTCATTATATATATATATATATATATATATATATATATATATATATATATATAATTTAAAGAAAAAACAGACCATTTTAAGGTTCCAGTGTTATAATTTATTTCAGCAGAGATTTTTTTTCTATGGATCATCAAACCTCACTTCCAAGGATGAAAAAATGAATTTAAACTTACACTTCTGAAGGGCAATATTAAGCTTATGTAAGGTGATATAGAGAGTGGTGAGAGATAGTGTGACATGGTCGAAATTAGAGAGGGAAGGGAAAGATAGGAATGCTTTTAAATTTATTTTTATTACAATACTTAATATTGAGGAGGTGGGTAAGGATCAGACATTGACCTATTTAATAGGTCAACTCACCGGAAACGATAAAGTAAAGATGGAAGAAAAGAAATGGACCTAGGGTTTTGAACGAAAGGGGGGTATAAATTTGGAGGGGGAAATTAACGTATGTGGGCATGTACCGGCCAATCTGGAAAAACACAGATTTATATATTTAATTTTTTTTTACCTTTTGATAGTAATTTAAGTGTTTAAATTC